GCCTCTTTAATAAAATCTCCTGTTGGGTACCCTGGTGTGTGGCGTGGTCGTTGAGTGCCGACGGAGCTCTAACACCCACTCTGTCCAAGATCCCCTGCACTGATCCCTTTCTGAGTGGTTGACAGTGGTAGCTGGGTATCATCTAGTTCTTCTGTTCTCATAGTCATTTAGGCTGAGGATCTCATGGTCTACTAGTCCTTGGACTGTTTCCATGCGTTTTTGGTTTTCTTCATTCTTCTTCACTCTGGATGCGGTTTCTCCTCTTTTCTTTATAAGCCTCATTGTATCTAACTTCTTTAAGGCATTTGTTTTTTCTAGAATCAAAATAGTCTCACTATATGCTTACAGAATGACTGCTCAGAATAAACCTCATGTTCAAATTTCTTTGAGTTTTGATTATTTTTAACAGTTCCAACTTGTTCTGTATGTTTCTATAATGATCTCAAATCCCACAAGGTGTCCAAAAACCAAACTCAACTGCTGTTGAGTCGATTTCAACTCACAGTGACCCCCATTGGGTTTCCAAGGCTATAAATCTTTAAGGAAGCAGACTGCCTCATGTTTCTTCTGTGGAGCAGCTGGTGGGTTTGAACCACTGACCTTTTGGTTAGCAGCCAAATGCCTTAACCACTATACCACAAAAATGCCTTCCCATAAAGTGTAAGTTACTATTATGCTTTCAAAATATATATGTATAAGCACTCATAATATGAGCTTAAAAAATATATGTCTCCTTTGTGAGGCTAACATTAACTATAAGTCATTAGAAACCTGTAAGTCATAAGAGAAATATTTAGAAAATTTCTGAATTTTTATCTTATAGGACAAAGACATAGACACATAGAAGCATTTATGCAAAGAACCTAAACCTTTAAGTTCACTTTGAGCACACCATGACACAAGGAAACAACATAAACATAAATCTAAACAAGCTTCCAAATTTGTAACCTTGAAGAGAAGATGCATCCTTTGTTGTTGTTATGTGCCATGGAATCGAATCTGACTCACAGTGACCCCTCCTTGGGTTTCTGAAGCGGTATCACTATGGAGGTAGATTGCCCAACCTTCCTTCCCAGGAGTGGCTGGTGAGTTTGAACTGCCAGCCTTCTGGTTAGCAGTCAAGTGCCTTAGGTACTACACTACCAGAGCTCCTTTAGTGAGCCCTCCTTGAATTTCTAAGGAGGGCCGAGTGGAGAAAGAGACGGCCTGGTCTACGTGGCAGGGAGCAGCTGGTGGGTTTGAACCACCAGCCTTGCGCTTGGCAGGCAACTGCCTTAGGCCCGAGGCCATCCATCCTCTAGGCCACTCTTTAACCCTGGAAAAAAGGCATAACATACTAATCTTTGATATCACACTTGCTCTTGTCCTGTGGCACATTGTTTTTGTTAGGTGCCATTGAGTCGTCTCCCACTCATAGCTACCCCTCCTTGGCTTTCCAAGGAGGTATCACTACAGAATTAGATTGCCCAATCTTCCTTTCAAGGAGTGGCTGGTGGGTTTGAACTGCCAACCTTCTGGTTAGCAGTCAAGTGCCTTGGGTGGCATAAGGGTGACAAATTCACATATAAATCCTAAATTTCTGCTCACTCACTGGGAGAAGGCAGAGGTGGAACTGAGATTCTGCCTGCTGCCACCAACCTAACTAGGAGGGACCTCCACTGAATTCGAGCTGTGGTTAAGCCTTCCACGGAGACTTCTCCTTAAAGTCTAAAGATTTGCACTCTAACCATTAACTAATGTTATAATTGTAATTTTGATTCTCTGTTGTTAAATGAATGTCCTGAGGTCTTATTTGCATGCCTTGCTAGGAGTTCTGGTGTTGTAGTGCCCAAGGCATATTAATGTTAACCAGAAGGCTGGTGGTACAAACCCACCAGCCACTCCTGGGAAGGAAGGTTGAGCCATCTACTTCCATGGTGATACCACCTCGGAAACCCAAGGAGGGGGGTTGCTGAGTCGGAGACGACTAGACGGCACATAACAACAACTAAACACCCTGTAATTTACCCTGTAATAAACTGAAGTTTAGGGATGATAAACTGGAGTATTAATTTTCCAAGATTTCTAAAATCCTCTACGACACAAACACACACCAACCATTTGATTAGCAGCTTAGCGCTTATTGTGCCACCAGACAATTGTTGTTGTTGTTGTTGTTATGTGCCGTCGAGTCAGCCCTGACTCATAGCGACCCCTCCTTGGGTTTCCGAGGCAGTATCACTACGGAAGTAGGATTGCCCAACCTTCCTTCCGGGGAGTGGCTGGTGGGTTTGAACCGCCAGCCTTCTGGTTAGCAGTCAAGTGCCTTAGCCACTATGCTACCAGAGCTCCCGCCAGACAATAGGCCTCAGAAAACAAGATTTTGTTGAGATCAACCTCTTTTGGTTGTCTCATCTATACCCACTGCTCATGAGTTGACTCTGACTTATAGCAATCCTACAGGGCAGAACTAGGGCTACCAGGGCTATAAATCTATAAGCAAGCGGACTGCCCCATCCGTTTTCGGCGGAGAGGCTGGTGGGCTCGAACCGCCAATCTTCTATTAGTAGTCGAATGCTTTAACCACACCACCGGAGCTCCTCGCCTTACCTACAAGATAAATTATGACCTCATAACTTGACAAGGTCTCGCAGCCAGTAGGTGGGGCTAGCGCTTCTCGCATTCAGACCAGGCTGCGCAGCTCTGAGGGTTCAGTGAGCACATACTTTGCCCAGCACCGGGCGGCGTGGTCTGGACGTAGAAGCCTTGGCCGCGGCCGGAAGAGGCGGGCTGGACTCACGGGCCCGCCCCGCGCGCCGGCCGGACAGAAGTAGGCGCCGTGACGTCAGGGCGTCATATTCATTAGTCCTGTGTTTTCCCGGGCTCTGGCTAGTCACGTGACCCACTTTTGGCGCGAAACCTGGTTGTGGCAGTAATACCGGAGAGTAGCGCGGCGCTGTGATGGCGGTGAGCTGCAGCACCCGCAGGGACCGGGTGCCCGTAGGGCCTGCGTGTTTGCACTGGGAGCCGACTGTGGCGCGAAGTGGCGGGGCCTGGGGCGGACGAGGGGTCTCCGCGCGGCTTGCATGTTTGCACCGGGACAGAGAGCGGAGTGGGGCGGCCGAGGGCCGGCGAGCGCCAGGAACGTGCGTGGTCGCCTCGGGAGGATGCTCATTCTAATCCCGTGGCCTCGGTCTGCACCTGGCCCTACCTTACGCTCTTAAAGGGTCAGGTCCTCCAGGCCGAGGCCGGGTCCCTGGGCTCTGGTTTGGAGCGAGTTTCTCTCTTTTACTCGCCTCTGATGGAGTCTAAAAGGCATGAGGGCCCCGCTCGGTGTCCCATCTGGCATTCCCCAACCCCCACACCATACTGGGAGCCCCCTAAGCGAAATCTCTACTGCCCGTGTACTATCATTTATTCATTTCCTACATGCTTACTGGGCGCCATCTGCCCCAGGATATACACCAGGTCGACAAGGCCTCCGCGTCTTCATATACTTTCTGTTGTAATACTTGTTGACCCTTTCTCCTGTTGACCGTCGCTTGCACCAGTCTGTGAGTTTAGGTCTGCTGTGCACAGCACTTGGAAATTTTGGGGGTGGGCGGGGGTTCAGAAAAGTCTTGTTTTTCTCTTTTTCTTTTTTAGTTATGATTTGGGTGGAAGTTTACAGAGCAAATTCATTTTCGGTACAGCAGTTCGTACACATTTTGTTTCATGACATTGACTGCAGTTCCCCACAACGAAACAGCTCTCTTCCCACTTCTGCCTGTAGTTACCTCCTCTCTGTGTCTTTTCTGTGCATTCTTATGCACCCTCATTGCCCCCTGAGCTATCTCCTTGTGCAAATACTGCCCTTCTGTTCTCCCATGGTTGATTGTTCTAAGTAGTGTATCTGCCTGATGTAAATGTTCACCCTATATATTCCTGTCTGTTTGGCTAGAAGCCACGGCAGTGAGTTCAATTTCACACCTGAAGGGTAACTAGGGACTATCGTCTTGGGGGTCTCACCAGGCTCTATCAGACCAGTAAACATAGTCTTTTTTATGATTTTGAGTTTTGTTCCACATTGTGCTCCCACTCTATTCAGGATTTTCTGCACTGGTTCCTTTCTAAGTGGTTCACTGTGGTAGCTGGCAGGACTTGGCACAATGTGGATGCTCACATGGGCAGAATGCATGGTCAAAGGGAGGAAGTAGATTATAAACAGGTAAATAAATGAGTGACATAGCCTCAGTGATTTCTCAGGGAAATCACTGAGCATTGTGAGTCTGGAGTGGCCCAGGCTCAGGATAGAGCATTCCTTCAGAGAGAACTACCAGCTACAAAGTTCTTGAGCAGAAGAGGTTTGCTGTGTGACGACAGCATCACTGTGTCTGGTAGAGGGGAAACTGACAAGAGCAATCAGGGGAAGGTCACATCTCATGATAAAGTGCAGCTGTGTTGGCCCTCACCTGGCCCATCTTTGACAGTGGATTTTTTTCCAGGAATCATCCGAGTCCTTCACTGTGGTGTCTAGCCCAGCCCGAAATCGCAGAGGCACTGACCCTCTCATTTCCAGCCCGGGCCGAAGCTCCCGGCGCACTGATGCCTTGACCTCCAGCCCTGGCCGAGACCTTCCTCCCTTTGAGGATGAGTCTGAGGGGCTACTGGGCACAGAGGGGCCTCTGGAGGAAGAGGAAGAGGATGGAGAAGATCTTATTGGAGAAGGCATGGAGAGGTATTTTCATTTGAGACTTTGGCCTTCATTTGGGAAAGACAGGTTCATGAGCCACGCAGGTCCATTTAATGTGCTTTGCTGTGTCTAATTTAGACAGACTAGACCCTCAGTTCTGAGTAATCCTACCTCCATGAGATTAGAATCCAGGGAATGCACAGGTATCTGGAGGCTGCAGCTTGGAAAGACAGGAAGCTGACACCAAGTGTTCCTTTGCAACTTTTCGAAGAAGCAGTATATATGTGGATCTGATTAATCAAGATTTAGCTTAAACCAGCAGACATTGATTGTGCCTACTCTGTACCAGGCCCTGTGTTAGATACTTTCACACTTACTCTTTCACTTAACTCTCATAAGAATAAAAATACCAACATGTATTCAAGGGCATCAGGACTTGCTATCCAGATAGAGTGGAGTAAGCTATGCAAGTGAGCAAGGTTAGATTTCTGCTCCTTCTCATTCTGTAGTCACAACTGGGATTTGTTAGAAACTTTAGTAGCAGAATTATATGAGTGTTCAGGAGCCTCATGTAGATTTACCTTTTCTGTCTTTCTTTACCCTCATTCAGGGGTTCCCAAACTTACATGGAGAGTACTGGACAGGCAATTGTACAACCCTGGGTGGTACTTTTTATGAACCATGTAATGGGTTTACATAGGCACTCTTGAAAATATAGGATTTTTATTTTCAGCACTATCTGTAGAACCTAAGCCACAGATGATGCAAGTACAGGACTTGTCCAACTAGGAAGGAATGAGAAACCTCTGGGCTGAGGGTCAAGGCGTCAGGTCTGGACAGCTCCCCTGCTCTAGACTATGGAGTTCCTGCAGAAGCCCCCCCACCCCCAATCTGCCCACTATATCTTGACCTTCTCTTTCCCTTCAGTGATTCTGAAGAGTGAGAGACATTTGTAGGTGGCCTGTGGATCAAGGTGTTTGAAGACTAAAACCAAAACCAAACCCATTGCCATTGAGTTGATTTCAACTCCTAGCGACCCCATGGGACAGAATAGAATTGTCGTGTAGGATTTCCAAGGCTGTAATCTTTACAGAAGCAGATTACCATATCTTTCTCCCATGGAGTGCCTGGTAGTTTTGACTTTTGGTTAGCAGCCAAGCTCTTAACCACTGCACCACCAGGGCTTCTTATCTGAAGACTAACTGGGTCCAATTAGATTTTGTTTGTATGTGTTACTTAAACCACTTTATTGAGATATAATTTATATATCATAAATTTCATCCGTATAAACATACATTTAAATGCTTTTTAGTGAATTTGCTTAGCTGTGCATCTCCGCAGTCTAGTTTTAGAACATTTCCATCATCCCAGTAAGATTCCTCATACTTGTTTATATAGTTAATCGTGATGCCTATCCCCACCCCTAGATAGCCACTAACCTACTTTTTGTCTCCAGATTTCCCAATTTGGGACATTTCATATAAGTGGAATCAAACAGTATATGGTTTTTTGTGTCTTAACTTTTTCCACTTAGCAAAATGTTTTCAAGGTTCATCTGTGTGTAGCAGGTATCAGAACTTCATTCCTTCGTAATGCTGAATAATACTCTGTTGTATAAATAGACCACATTTTATTTATCCATTCATCAGGTAATGAACACTTGGGTGGATACTTTTTTTTAATTAGCATAACTCACTTAGGAAAATAACTTGCAGGGAAAGCACAGTTGGTAAACATAGAACGTGCATGTTATTTACAGAAAAATACAGTACAAGTCTATTGGATCCTTTACCTGTTTTTTTTGTTTTTTTAATTTTATTTTGATTTGGGTGAAGATTTACAGAGTAAATTCACTTTTCATACAGCAGTTCACATATACTTTGTCTCATGACATTGACCAAAATTTACAATGCAACAGCTCCCCTCCCACTTCCTTCCCATAGGTACCTCTTCCCAGTGTCCATCCCTCCATACTCTCCTGCACCCTGAGCTGTCTCCCTGTGCATAAGCAGCCCTTCCTTCTACTATGATTGTTCTCTCCAGGGTGTGTGTCTACTTGAGGTCAATGTTTAACTCACATGCCTGTACTTTGTTTGGCTGGAAACCACAGGTGTGGGTTCAATTCCAGACCTGAAGGGCAGCTAGGGGCCATAGTCTCAGTGGTTCCACCAGGCTCTATTGGACCAGCAAACCTCCTTTACCTGTTTTTTAATTGAGTCGTTTGCCTTTATATTTTTTAAGTATAATTTTTTTATGTAATTTTTTTTAGTGTATTCTGACTATAGGTCCTTCATTGGGTAAAATGATTTGCAAATATTTTCTCCCCAGTCTGTGGCTTATCTTTTCATTTTCTTAATGGTATCTTCTGAACCACAAAAGTTTTGAATTTTAATGTTGTCCAGTTTTTCAGTTTTTCTTTTATGAACTGATGAGATTTATGCTGAGATGATTTCATGTGACTTTAAATCCTTAAAGTCATACAAACACCTTTTCCCTAAGAATATTTAAGAATTATGACCTGACTCCACCCAGAGGTTTACCTGGCCTGGGTCGTGTGTGGCACCAGCATGAGAATATTTGTTCTGAGAGTGTAGTTTGACAGAGTTTGCTGCAAAAACCAGTAGCAGCTCCAGATCACTATTTACCTGAGGAAAGGGAGAATTCTGGAGTATTGTCTTCAGGGTGGCAATGTGGTGTTGGCAGAAGAGCTTGCAGTTTGCTGAGTGACCACTGGCAGAAGCCACATCCCCTCCTTGAGCCTCTGCATCCTCATCTCTCAGGTGGAGCAAGAGTGTCTGCATCCCAGAATTGCTGGAAGAAAAGCCCAGTGCTTTGCTCAGTGGGAGCCTTGTTGGGGTGTTATTTCCTTTCAAATATTTGGATAATTATCAACTGGACAGTATTTGTCTGGAGATCTTGAAGTGGCTTCAGAGGGTTGAGACAGTGGATAGATTTTTTGGAGAGACTGGTTTGGCTGGTTGTGAATAGAAGATGGCATTGTCGAAAATGGAGAAAGTGCAGAATTCCTGCTCTTTGGGGGAAGTTGTTTATCTGATCCCTTTCTTATCAGAAGGTTTTGTGGTTTGCTCCCAGTTCCTTTTTCTAACTGGATTTTAAACCCATCTGGACCCTTTTTCAGCCTTTTGTGTTTCTGGCTTGGCATTTCCCCAGGCCTGCTCAGCCAGGAGCTCCTGAGTCTACTGGAGCAGGCCTAGTTCCTAGGCAGGATTATTTTGGTGGTAACTGTGTCCATTTTGGGCTCTCTCAGAGACTACCGTGCCATCCCAGAAATAGACACCTACGAGGCCGAGGGATTGGCTCCAGATGACGAGGATGTGGAGGAGTTGACTGCCAGTCAGAGAGAGGCTGCAGAACGGGTCATGAGGCAGCGGGACCGGGAGTCTGGCCGTGGTCTGGGCCGCATGCATCGCGGGCTGCTATATGGTAGGTCCCAGGGGGGCTGGGAAGGGATTGTGGCAGAGCAGAGAGCAGGCACAGGGAAAATTCCCCTTTGCTTCCCCAGACAGTGACGAAGAGGATGAGGAGCGCCCCACTCGGAAACGCCGCCTGGTGGAGCGGGCCACAGAGGATGGTGAGGAAGATGAGGAAATGATCGAGAGCATTGAGAACCTGGAGGACCTGAAGGGCCACTCTGTGCGTGAGTGGGTGAGCATGGCTGGCCCCCGACTGGAGATCCACCACCGGTTCAAGAACTTCCTGCGTACCCACGTGGACGGGCATGGCCACAATGTCTTCAAGGAGCGCATCAGTGACATGTGCAAAGGTGCAGCTTTGGCACACCCCACCCTAGCTTGACACCTATCCAAATCCTCCCACAGGAGCTTCTTCATTTTATCCATGTAGTGGCACATTTAATAGAAAAGCATACAAAGTATTGTATGTCTGCACTAGGACTCTCCATCCAACTGTCTGGTCCACATAAGTGTTTCTGACATCTTTAAAAAGGAGCAGGTTTACTACTTTTATCAGAAAGTAACAAAACTGGACTCACATTTCTATGTGATAATTGATTTCAAAAGGAGGCAGGTGAACCTCAGTTCTCTGTAGTCTTCTCCATTCCCTTTTGTCTTATATTTGACATAGTCTATTCGTATGTTTTCTTCCTGGCTCTTGTAAACAGTTTGAGTTTGCAGCCCCTGGTACACTAAGAAGCTCTGGTGTCATAATGCCTTACGCATTTGCTGCTAACCAGAAGACTGGTGGTTCAAACCTACCAGCCACTCCTCAGAAGGAAGGTTGGGCAATCTACTTCCATAGAGATACTGCCTCAGAAACCCAAGGAGGGGCTGCTATGAGTTGGATCCGACTTGACAGCAATGAATTTGGTTTGGTTTGGTAGTGACTTTGTAAGCTGTGTGACATCCCCATTTTATAGAGCAGGAAACTCGAGGCTCAGTCATATAGCTGAAAGGTTGTCTGAGAAGTTAGAGCTGAGTTTTGTGACTCAGACTCAAAGATTTGGGCATAGAGTCATCTCTCTTCACACCGGCATTGTGGTACTTACTCTCTTTCCTGTCACTCCTCTAGAGAACCGTGAGAGCCTAGTGGTGAACTATGAGGACCTAGCAGCTAGGGAGCATGTTCTGGCGTACTTCCTGCCAGAAGCACCAGCAGAGCTATTGCAGATCTTTGATGAGGCTGCCCTAGAGGTGGTGTTGGCCATGTACCCCAAGTATGACCGAATCGCCAGCCACATCCACGTCCGCATCTCCCATCTGCCTCTGGTGGAAGAACTGCGCTCACTGAGGTGAGTTGAGGCCTGGGTGAATGCACCAAAATCCCCTCCAGGCTGAGAGCAGCAGGGGTGAGGGTGGAGTGCAGCCAAGAAGAGCCCTCATCCCAGCACGTGTCTTGGGGTGAGCAGTGGTGCAATGGGAGGGATCTGGTTAGTCCAGGTAGGATCCCAAGCTGGAACACCCTCACATGTAGCTCTGACCCCTCCAGAGGAATAGGGTTAAAACCATGTGGTATCCCCTCTCTCCCCTTCCAGGCAGTTGCACCTGAACCAGCTGATCCGTACCAGTGGAGTGGTGACCAGCTGCACAGGCGTCCTGCCCCAGCTCAGCCTGGTCAAGTACAACTGCAACAAGTGTAACTTTGTCCTGGGACCCTTCTGCCAGTCACAGAACCAAGAGGTGAAGCCAGGTTCCTGTCCCGAGTGCCAGTCAGCCGGCCCCTTTGAAGTCAACATGGAAGAGGTGAGTGAGGACATCTTCCCAGGGACCCTGAACATGCAGAGTCTGGCCAGCATCTGAGGCTTTTGGGAGATAAGTGTAGGCAGTGAAGGGCAGCAAGATAGAAGTATGTGTTGGTCATAACCCTGTTGAGGACCAGAGCCATGTGGCAGTGTGTTTAGTTTTTTCCTATGTCATATTTTAAAGATTTGAGCCAATATTTAAAAATCAGGTGGTTTTGTTTAAAATATCCAAGTTTATGGCCTCTCTCCAAAAACTGGAACATCTGGCAATTTTGGGTCCCTTTCCTGCCTGTCCACCCTGTTAAAAGGTACTGTGTGGTGTTGTCAGCTGCAACATCCGCCCTTCACGTGAGAAAATTCACATTCATGTCATAGTCTTCTTGTGCTGTGTTTTTGGTACCTGCCTGGCCCCTCTAGGACCCCTGGATGAGAGCCACCATACCACCTTAGACACCAGCCATGCCATACTTGAGAGATTTTGCTGCAAGCCTATTTGGTTTCAGACCTTAGGCAGCACTTGTACCTTTGCCCCTGCCTGCCTTTGTCTGAAAAGCAGGGGTGATCAGTATACCTATAGTAGACATCCTGATCCCTCACACTACCTAGCTGCCAGGAGTGTTGCCTCTAACTTCTCACATCCCTACCCTTCTGAGAATTACCCCATCTAGAGCCGCCTTCCTAGGGAATGCTAAGAAGGGAGCACTGTGGTACAAGTCCTCTTGGCCATCCACAGTGCTAAGGCTGGACTTCAGCTGAGGCTGGTATCTTTGCCATTGTCTTTCTTCTCCCTCTAGCGTATCTTCCTCTGTTACAATTTCACTTTCATGGGCCCTCAGTGAGTATCATGCCTGAGAGTCCCCATCTTAGGCCCTGCTTTTAGGGAATCTAAAACAGAAGCTAGGAGCAGATTACCGCTGAGCCTCCTTGAGTACTTCCCATGTGCCAGGTGGTGGTGATACACTACTTAAGTCTCATCACAGCTGTATAAGGCAGTTACTGTTAGCATTCCATTTTGCAGGTGGAAGTCATGTTTAGAGAAGTAACTGGCAGAGGTCACCCAGCCAAAAAGTGGCCAAGGAATTAGGATGCAGACTTTTTTTTTTTTAATAATATATTATTGTGCTTTTAGTGAAGGTTTACATAGTAGTCAGTTTAGGTTCTCATTTGGCGATTTCTACACAATTTCAGTGACATTGGTTACATTCTTAATATGTGAACATTCTCATCATTTCCATTCTAGTTGTTCCATTTCTGTTAATAAGTTTCTGCGCCCTCTTACATTATCATTTTGTTATAAAGTAATTGTTGATGGTTTGGTCTCATTTGGTGGTTTTTTTAAGGGTGCACATTACTTAGAGATGATATTCATTATTTCAGAAATGGCATGGGGGTGGCATCTTTTTGCCTTCTCTGATTTCACCATCAGCATCATCAGCCCAAGGCAGATGAGCAAGGTTAATCCCAGACATGCCACCACCCTCTAACCTTACCAATTCAGGCACCAGCCATCCCTCCCATGGCACTCTCTGCTTCTCTGCTGGGTTTGATAATTTGTTGCAATGACCAGACAGAAGTCACAATTAGTACTCAGGATTATGAAGTTTATTAAGTAAGCAACAGGTTACAGTTCAGGTTCAGGAATGCTCAGGATTTAAAGCTTTCACTCAGGACAGTCTTACTACAGCTATTCTTGGAAGCATGCCTCCCTTTGGTCTTTAGCTTTTGCCCTGCTCAGGCAATTGTTGACAAAACTCTTTCAGTTCTGCAGATTGGTGTACCCCACTCTGCCAGCAAACCTCCTGCCCAAGGGCACTCAACTTTCTTGTTCTCAGGGTTGGCAAGCCTGCCACTCTGTCTCCTGCCACTCTCTTGGGTCTGTTACCTTTGCTGCCGCCATCTCTGCTGTCATCTCAATGCAGGGATCTCAGGTCCAAGGACATACTCCCCTATGGGCTTTTTCCTGCCTTGATTGTAGTGAGATTCCCCCACCTGCCTCTGGGAAGGCTTATTTTAAGCCTGGCGGAATGACAGAACTGACCAATCTCCACATTAGGATTCCATATACCTTAATTCCATGGTCTCATCTCCACAAGGATTTCATGTATCTTATTTTCATTGTTAACAAGCTAGCCAGTCCCCTTGGTGGACCACAAGCACCTCATATTTACATAGTACCACCCAGTCGTCTGGTGGGAGTCACAAAGATCATGGCTAGAAGAGCCATAATAAGTAATTCAATGCACCATAATTACTTTTTGAGCCAATTTGCTACTTAACTACAAAATGACCTCGGGTTAGTTTCGGTTCAGGGTTTGAAGAGTAGTTCAAGACAGTAATCTCAGAGAGTCTTCCAGTCTCAACCAATCATTAATAAGTCTGTTTTTTGTTTATTATTTGTTTTAGGAATTTAAGGTTTGGTTCCACATTTTTCTCCATTCTGCCAGCATCCATCTTTTGTGGCCCTGATTGAAATGATTGGAGTGGTAGTTGGGTACTATCTAGTTCTGGTCTCAAGGTAGATGAGGCTATGGTTTGTCCAATGGATTAGTTTCTTCTTTAAGTCTTTGGTTTCCTTCTTTCTCTTTTGCTCTCAACAAGTGGAAATCGATAATTGTATCTTAGATGGCCACTTACAAGCTTTTAAGACCCCAGAGACTATTCACTAAACTAGGCTGTAGAATAATATTATGAACTATATTATGCCAGTTGACCAAGATGTCCCATGAGACTGTGGTCCTAATCCTTCAAACCCAGAGATCTAGTCCCACAGAATACTTGGTAATGTCTAAGAAGTATCTGTAACTGTGTCCCCGTGTGCTTTATATACATGTGCAAATAGTCACACAGATGCATACACATACACATATGTATATACCTATACATACTTATACATCTATGCATAGCCTTTAAACATATATTCCCACAAACGTATTTTTTTGTTGTCTCAAAATTAGGTGTCATAGCAATTACGAACAGGTCCTTTTTTCTTGTGTATTTTTTAGTGACATTTACCATCATCATACTGTGTACACTTCATCCTCGCTCAATATTACCTTTCCCATCACCAGAAATAACAAGTATCCTGATAACCACTAATGAACATTAGTTTCTATATATTTACTTATGTGATTTCATGAAAGTGAGAGTATATGTGTTTTTTCTGTGTGTGAGCCACTTATTTCACTGAATATAGTGTCCTCCAGGTTCATCCATGTTCCAGGATGCTTCAGGAACTCATGTTTCTTTAACTGCTGAGTAGTATTCCATTGTATGTGTGTGCCATATTTAACTTACTCATTTATCTGTTAAACACATTTAGGATATTCCCATCTTTTAGCTATTGTGAATAGTGCTGCAGTGAACATAGGTGTGTGTATGTCTGTTCATGTCACTTCTATTAGGTCTCTAGGGTATATACTTAGAAGTAGAATTACTGCGTCATAGGCAGCTTTACCTTAGTTTTTTGAAGAACAGCCTAACTGTTTCCACAATGGCTATACTATTTTATATTCCCACCACCAATTTCTCCATGTCCCTTCCAACATTTCTTATTTTCCTTTATTTTTTTTTTTAATCTTAGCCATCCTCGTGGGAGTGAAATGGTACCTCATTGTGGTTTTGATTGATATTTCTCTGATGGCTAATAATATTGAGCATCTTTTTGTGTGTCTCCTGGCCATTTGTGTATCCTCTTTGGTGAAGTGTGTGTTCGTGTCCTTCAACCAATTTTTGATTGAGCTGTCATTTTGTTGTTAAGTTGTAGAAGTTTTCTCTATTTTTTTATATATTGTGTTTTAGGTAATGTATATATTATTTGTTCTATGACATTGGCTACTATGTTGCTTAAGGCTGTGTGTCAACTTGGCCAAGGCTTGATTCTCAGCACTGTGGCGGTTATGATGTATGAGATGTAGTCATCCCCATGATGAGATCTGATATAGTGTGTTCACCTTCATGATGAGATCTGCTGTGAGCACTCAGTCAGTTGAAAGAGAGTTTCCTTAGGAGTGTGACCTGCATCCAGTATATATGGGCATTCTGGCAAAGCTCTTTGGTTCTTTGCTTAGTCTGAATCCTGCATCATCATCTGACCTCCAGTTCTTTGGACTTGAGCCAGTAGCCTGCCCCATCACCTGCTGATCTTGGATTCATCAGCCTCTGCAGCTAGCAGCCTGCTGTCTGACATGCTGATCTTGGGTTTGTCAGCCCCTACAGCTACATGAGTCAGGCAAAACCTCCAGCCTGACATCTGACCATGA